TATCTCCTTCACAATCCTCATCCCCTCTTCTCTCCTCCTCATACTCTCTCTCTAGACTCTCGCAATTCCTTATAGAGAGAGAGAGATAGCTTAGGCACCTTTTAACCCTAGTTTTTCCCGCCGCCACCTGAAACCATGGCTTCCGAGGCGAATCAGCTTCAACAGGCGCAACTCGCGATGGTTCTCGGTTCCGATTCAGCCCCGTTCGAGACCCTAATCTCTCACCTCATGTCTTCCTCCAACGAGCAACGTTCTGCCGCAGAGACTCTCTTCAATCTCGCTAAGCAAACCAATCCAGATACCCTCGCCTTGAAGCTTGCTCATCTTCTCCAGCTTTCTCCTCATCCCGAAGGTCGTGCCATGGCCGCCGTTCTCCTCCGAAAGTTGCTCACCCGCGACGACGCTTATCTATGGCCTCGTCTCTCCCTCCCCACTCAATCCTCTCTCAAAACCTCGATGTTGTCTTGTATTCAGCGTGAGGAGGCGAAATCGATCTCTAAGAAGATTTGCGATACGGTCTCTGAACTTGCGTCCGGGATCTTGCCGGAGAATGGATGGCCGGAGTTGTTGCCGTTTGTTTTCCAGTGCGTGTCGTGCGATTCACCTAAATTGCAGGAATCTGCGTTTTTGATATTGGCGCAATTGTCACAGTACGTTGGGGAGACTCTGACTCCGCACATCAAGCATCTCCATGGTGTTTTCCTCCAGTGTTTGAGTAGTAACTCGGCTAGCTCCGATGTCAAAATCGCTGCTCTCAACGCTGTGATTAGTTTCGTTCAGTGTCTGTCGAACTCGACGGAGCGAGATAGATTCCAAGATGTTTTGCCTGCGATGATCAGGACGTTGACCGAATCGCTTAACAATGGGAACGAAGCAACTGCACAGGAGGCACTCGAGCTTTTGATTGAATTGGCTGGTACTGAGCCACGATTCCTTAGAAGGCAGCTTGTTGACATAGTTAGTTCCATGCTACAGATCGCAGAGGCAGATTCACTCGAGGAGAGTACGCGTCATCTTGCTATTGAGTTTTTGGTAACTCTAGCAGAGGCTCGTGAGCGTGCTCCTGGGATGGTTAGGAAACTCCCTCAGTTCATCGACCGGTTGTTTGCGGTTCTTATGAAGATGCTTGAGGATATCGAGGACGATCCTGCTTGGTACAGCGCTGAGACCGAGGACGAGGATGCTGGCGAGACTAGCAACTACAGCATGGGACAAGAGTGTTTGGATCGGTTGGCAATTTCTTTGGGAGGGAACACCATTGTTCCTGTTGCATATCAGCAGTTTTCTGCTTACTTGGCTGCCTCTGAGTGGCAGAAACACCATGCTTCTTTGATTGCTCTTGCTCAGATTGCTGAAGGTTGCTCTAAGGTACTGAACTTGTTAGTGATGGCAACTTAAAAACATGTTCATGGAAGCCCATTTACCTGTCTTAAGTTACTTTTTTCATTTATTGTTCTTTTGGCTTTCATTGTTTTTGTTGGATGTCATGATTTATCTTAGAGGATTCACCACACAGATTCATCAGTTTGGGGTTTAAATTTTAATGTAGGTAATGATTAAGAACCTGGAGCAAGTGGTCTCTATGGTTTTGAGCCAGTTTCAAAGTGCTCATCCTCGCGTAAGGTGGGCAGCTATCAATGCAATTGGCCAGTTGTCTACGGATTTGGGTCCAGATTTGCAAAATCAACATCATCAGAGAGTGCTCCCCGCACTTGCCGCTGCTATGGATGATTTCCAGAATCCACGAGTGCAGGTTACATACACTGTTTCTCTGATAATGAAATATGTTTATTTCCTCAAGCATCTTGTAACCTAGCACCTTGTGACCTCATGCAGGCTCATGCTGCTTCAGCAGTACTCAACTTCAGTGAGAATTGCACACCTGATATATTGGCACCTTATTTAGATGGTGTAGTGAGCAAGTTGCTTGTGCTACTACAAGTAAGTCCATTGTGCAGATTTATCTCGTAAAAGAAATAACAAAAAAAGAGCAAATGCTTTTTGCACCTTATTGACTCGTAAATGTAATTGTGTTTCTAATAGAATGGTAAACAAATGGTACAAGAAGGAGCTTTAACAGCTCTTGCTTCAGTTGCTGATTCTTCGCAGGTATATGTGAAGAAATTGTGCTACATTTATTGACTTCCTATTATGCCGCTCGTGATCTAACATAATCTGAATTTGTAGGAACACTTTCAAAAGTACTATGATGCTGTCATGCCTTACCTCAAAACTATTTTGATGAATGCAACTGACAAATCTAAGCGAATGCTTCGTGCCAAATCCATGGAGTGCATCAGTCTTGTTGGAATGGCAGTCGGAAAGGATAGATTTAAGGAGGATGCGAGGCAGGTATGGTCACATGCATGCAAGTTATTGAGATTAAACAAATTTCTTTTAAAATCAACATTGTTTCGCTATCTCCTATTTATATGTCACATGAAAATATTTTACCTGTGCATGCCAGGTCATGGAAGTCCTTATGTCATTACAAGGATCAGAGATGGAGGCAGACGATCCAATAACGAGCTACATGCTACAGGTGAATTCTGATTACAACATGATAGGTCTATATGCTGTAAACTAAAACAAGCAAGTTGTTCATCTGCTTACATATACCTTAAACTTTCGTAGGCATGGGCTAGACTTTGCAAGTGTCTAGGTCAAGATTTCCTCCCATACATGAATGTTGTGATGCCTCCTTTGCTACAGTCAGCTCAGCTTAAACCAGATGTAACAATTACATCTGCTGATTCAGAAGACGAAGCAGAGGATTCTGATGATGAAAGGTTTTCACTCTTTGTGACTCTTTATGTGTCTGACCTGTGTTTCTATATATGGGTTATGTTCTTCTTAAAGGCCTTGTTTTTGTTTAGTTCGTATGCCTCTGCATTGAAAAAATCGTTTTGAAGTTGAAATTCTGTCCCTATTATGAATAGGCATGTTTTAAGGCTTTTTTGTTTTGTTTTATAATTCCTTTTCAATTAGTATGTTGTTTCATTAATTGCTCTTAACTATTGTAGCCAATTAAGGTTTGCAAGAGTTAATACTTAATAGGTTAGAGAACGAATAATAAGCATCACCTATGGTGAGATAGAGGGAGAATTAGTTTTTCATGCAGAAATTTTCCTAATTTTGTCTCTTGCTGCAGCATGGAGACCATTATCCTGGGAGACAAAAGAATAGGGATAAAAACAAGTGTCCTAGAGGAAAAAGCCACAGCGTGTAACATGCTTTGTTGCTATGCTGATGAGTTAAAAGAAGGATTTTTCCCCTGGATTGATCAGGTTAGTATGGTTGAATAACTCCACGTCTTGTCAGTATCCAGTATTGGTCTTGGATTGGTTAGACTGAGTTTGTATGTTGTAGGTTGCACCTACACTGGTTCCTTTGCTAAAATTCTATTTTCACGAAGAAGTGAGAAGAGCAGCTGTGTCAGGTATTTCAGAAAATATGAGTCTGTAATCCAATTCTTAGATTGTCTGTAATCACGATACAAGTTTCTAATAAATTAAACAATTTTTCTTATTAGCCATGCCGGAACTAATGCGCTCAGCCAAGCTGGCAATAGAGAAAGGACAATCTCAAGGGCGTGATCTATCCTATCTGAAGCAGCTTTCTGACTACATTATTCCAGCCATGCTGGAAGCTTTGCATAAAGTTAGTGTGTAATCTGTCCTTATTTTTTTCTTCTTTTTTTGGCGTTGATTCATTTTTGTTGATGGTGTTGATGATTGGATTTTATGTAGGAACCTGATACGGAGATCTGTGTGAGTATGTTGGAAGCTATCAATGAATGTTTGCAGGTAAGCATTCATTTACAAATTCGGTTAAACTTGTGAGCTTGTTTGATTAGGTATTTTATTATGTGGCTTTTAGAGTCAGTGGCTAGCATTTCTACTTGACAATGCTGCATTTTCCTTGGTAGTCTTGCTAGTTTTTTGTTTTTAATTTAGATCATCTATGTGATTACAAGCATAGGAACGATGAATTATGTTGCCTTATCAGGCTATCAGCTGGCCTTATCTTCATCCTTTCCTTAGGTTTAGGGTATGTGACAGAGTGCTTATATTGAAGAAGGCTTAGAGTCAATTGTATCGTTCATTTGGAAAAAATTATAACCTTCTATTGTATTCCAGATCTCTGGAAATCTTTTGGATGAAGGAAAAATCAGATCCATAGTTGATGAAGTAAAACAAGTTATGACAGCAAGCTCTAGTAGGAGGCGGGAAAGGGGAGAGAGAGCCAATGCTGAAGACTTTGATGCTGAAGAGGGAGAGCTTATTAAAGAAGAAAATGAACAAGAGGAAGAAATTTTTGATCAAGTTAGTTTTCTGTGATTCACCCTTGTCAAATGAAAGCATAGTGATGCGACACTATTTTCAGCGCTCTTATTGCATGCTTGAAATATTGTCTGCATTTAGGTTGGTGAGATATTGGGAACACTGGTCAAGACATTCAAGGCCGCATTTCTGCCTTTCTTCGATGAACTATCCTCTTACCTAACTCCCATGTGGGTAAGTGCCCATCATCACTAAGTGGAGAACTTATGTAGTTAGAAGTATCCTTTGTTTTTGTTATAGGCTTATGGCCAAAAGGTCATATTACTGAATTGATATAGTACAATTAAAAAACTGTAGAAAATTTTGCACTCTGTTTCAGGTCAGTTTATGTTTCGAAGTCTGTGGCTGTTGGCATGGCTCTAATACAATAATAGTTTCAGTTTGCCTTTCTGTTTTGCTATTGATTTTTGGTTTTGGGATGTGTATTTGCTGGTTCAGGGAAGGGATAAAACAGCTGAAGAGAGAAGGATTGCTATATGCATCTTTGATGATGTTGCAGAACAATGCCGTGATGCTGCCTTCAAGTAAGTATATGCATTTACTGGATCTTTGTACATTGTAGGTTTTCAATTATCAAAGTTCTGATCCTATAACTCCTAATGTTTCTTTGCCAGATATTATGATACTTATCTTCCATTTGTACTGGAAGCTTGCAATGATGAGAGCCCAGAAGTTCGACAGGTATATTGTGCATTCTGTTAAACTGGTGTTTCTGGGGCTGTATACTATTTTTTATAAACTCTCTTGTTTGTTTCAGGCTGCCGTTTATGGGCTTGGTGTTTGTGCTGAGTTCGGCGGATCTGTATTCAAGCCTCTTGTTGGAGGTATGATATGCCTTTGCCCACTGACAGTTTTTGGGCGTTTAATCCATATTTTGCAGTTTATTAACACATGTTTTTGTTTCAACAGAGGCTCTATCAAGACTAAATGTTGTGATACAGCAGCCAAATGCTCGGCAATCTGAAAATGCCATGGCTTATGATAATGCTGTTTCCGCAGTGGGAAAGATATGCCAATATCACCGTGACAGTATCGATTCTTCTCAGGTAGTTTACCAATTACCATAGTTATAAGGTTTCGCCATCTCCGGCTCTGCACAGATATTTTGGTTGCTTTTGATAACCACAAGTTACCTTTTTCGGTTTTGTCAGGTACTTCCTGCGTGGTTGAACTGTTTGCCTATAACTAATGATGTCATTGAAGCCAAGGTGGTTCATGATCAGCTCTGCTCAATGGTTGAGAGGTAAGCAATGACTTTAGATTTGAAAATTTATTCACTTCTTGTGACTAATCTAAAACGATAAACCTGCAGGCAAGATGTGGATCTTCTAGGTCCCAATAACCAGTATCTTCCGCAGATCCTAAAAGTTTTTGCCGAGGTTTGTTAATTTACTCATAAACAAGAGTTCTTCATTCTGTGATCTTTGCATAATTATATACTCATGGACAAATCAAATGTGTATATTGGCGACCAGGTGCTCACAGGGAAAGATGTGGTGACAGAAGTGACGGCAGGCCGTATGATAAATATATTAAGGCAACTTCAGCAGACTCTGCCACCAGCGGCGTTGACCTCAACATGGTCAACGCTGAACCCCGAGCAGCAGCTCGCTATCCAATCCATGCTTTCCTCCTAAACTCTCACTCAAATCAGGGTCTCTTTTGTTTATTTACAGTCTTGTCAGCTCTCTGTTTTTCACCGCAAAAAGCGTCAGTCAGTTTTGCATTTATGTGTTTTTACAAAGCTTTGTTTTTCTTTTTGCATTTTTCACCATTGGTTTCTCTTGGGAGGGATGATGATGATGGGGTCTCAATCCTTCAGAAGTTATGAAATTGAAAATTTCTATCTTTATGATAGGGAGTGTATATTAGGAGGGGAAGGAGAGTGGTTATGAAAAGAGTGTCATTGGGGAAATTGAAAGGTTATGCTTCCCCCCAAAAAAAAAACAGA